CTCTCTCTCTCTCTCTCTCTCTCTCTCTCTCTTTCTCTCTCTCTCTCTCTTTCTCTCTCTCTCTTTCTCTCTCTCTCTCTCTTTCTCTCTCTCTCTCTTTTCGTCTCCATCTCGTCGACGTTCGATCCAACCAGATTACAACGTCTGGTGGGAATAAAGATGCATTGATAATCAGCTCAAGTAGTCCACGGCACTGACAGCGAGCACTGCATTTAATTCCGTCTCTTGTCCGGTTTCGCATGATCATCCCGACTGGGCTTATCGAACGTCGAGTACGTGAACACAGCACCCGAGTTCGTCTCATTTGCGTTCCCCAATATTGTATGCGTGTATGTTCCGCTTCAAATGTGGATGGAGAGACTTGCCGAAAATCAATTTTTTAAATTTTATTTTATTTTTACTATCGTGTTTTTTGGTCAAGGGTATTTGGAGAGTTTCTCATATTTATTTTCTGAACCCTGTCAATGATTCTGTTTGGGATAAAAAGGATCAATCAAGCAATCAATCTTTACATTCACATTCAAAAGACTATTCTCTCGCTTATTTGTGTCGGGATTAGTGGGCTACTTAGACATCTAGAGATTAGTGGGTTACAGTTTTTCAGATTAGGCGTTACGTGAGGTCTTAGCTTAGGTTGGTAAGAATATTTAATGCATTACTGTGATAACACATTTACATGAGAAATCAGGAAAGCATTCATTATTACTGTCGTACAGTAAATTTCCAGATGCTAAATTTCATGGGCATAATGAGAATTCGACTGACGGCGTCTCAACGACAAATGATAACTTGAAAACTGCCTTCCTGTATTGCTGAATTTTCGCTTGTCTCCGAGATGTTTTGGTATTCTTTTTTTTTGTTGCTTCGGTGTCAAATCTACCGTGCTCATGTTCCATCATAATAAGACACACGAATTGACTCTTACGAAGAAAATTGTCAACTATAATGCATTGCAATTTGCATCTGTGTATGTTGCTCACTTGGTGTTTATTTCCACATTTTCAGAAAGCGGCGCACTTGATTTAAATGTAGAAAAAAGAAAGACAATAAAATGTAAAATATAAAAAAATGTCCCTTAACTGAAATCCTCGGTTTGATTGTTATCAGTATTGAATGAGTGACACATGGGCACAAATGTAGACGAAAGCTTCAGAGCAGATTTTCAACAAAGTAGTGCGCACATGAAAACGTAATTATTAGTGTCAAAGGATTTTTATCTTAGAAAACCTGTAACAATTCCTCCCAAGTTTAGTCAAGATTATAGTCCTCGATATCGCGCCAAGTAATCAAGTGAACTCCAGATATCTGTTTGTTTAAATGCCGGTCATGCGAGAGCATGCAGTTTAATCGGGTTTTCGTGCTCCTCTCATATACGTATATACAGTATATAGACGACGATGACGAGAATACCGATATACGAGTACTGTATATACTGTATATAGGAAATGTGTGTCTGTAGAGCGAGAGAGAGAGACGGGGAGGGGAGGGCAGGGGAGAGAGAAAGTCCCTCTCCTTATAACTTTACTCTACTTACCCGAGCCGGCGTTGGGCCGGGCCCATGACTAGTTCTATAGGGCGCCCCCGGGGCTGCTGTCGCCGCTCGGGGCCTGCGCCACAGCAGAAGCGGCGGCCGGGTGGCCTCTCCTTCCTTCCTTCCTTCCTGTCTGTCTGTCTGTCTTCCTTCCTGCTTATTGCCTTCCTTACTTCCTCAACTCCCTCCTCGTGATGGCTCTTGCTCTGGTGTTTGTTCCTTTGCCTGCTCGACTTCTGCTTGGGCATCAGGGCTGATTTAATGAACGGTCCTTTCTCGGCTTTATTAATCACGTGGGCGTATCATCACCGTTGCCCGGATTCGAACCCAACGCGTGTGAGCCCCCCTTTGTCCAATCGAGGGGCCCTCCCCCAACTTCTCGCTACTTTCATCCTTGAGACAATAATTCGAAAAATAATAATAAATTGGAGGAAATGGGCTTCCTGGGGTCTTTCCATTTTTTCGTTCCAATATTAAAAAAAATGACATGCTCTAAAATAAATAGAAGTGATAGAGGGCGTTATTGGGTTGAACAGGCTAGTTTTACGTTAGGCTAATTATCCGTCATGTTGTCAGTTATGTCTTAACGTGTGTGAGAATAAATTGAGTACAGTTTATCAAATAATTTTACCCAAAGTTTTGTCAAGTTGAGAGTGGATTCAGGTTCGGGTTTTTCGGTCTAAGGGTAGAGATGCAGCCATTCATGCAGATTATAATTTTGATTGTAGATTTGTGTAGTAGTGTAACATTGGCAGGTTAGTATTCAGGGTCGTTTGGTTTTTCTTTCGACACCATTATTTTTACTACCGATTAAAGGAGTTCGGATCTTGTTGGAAAATGTTGCATCTGTTTTTCATGTGAATATGATTGTTTCGTACAGATTTTCGGGAAGAATTTGAAAATGGGCGTAAGTTATTCACCGGAATATCATGGCGCAAAATAAATTAATTTGGCGCTTCACAATATTTCGATTCAAAATTTTTGCGTGCATTTATTTCTCCAGTGCAGCGACATGCTGCTCAAAACTTTTTTCCCCGAAGTCAGCGGAATACTGTACTGGAACTTTTTCCACTACGAAAATAAAACGTTCATTAAATTTCCTGATAATCGAAACGATTATTTTGTAACCGAAGCCCACGAAGAGGTCAGCATAATTTATCTTTTAATATCAGTCGACTTTAAATTCAACGCTGAAGCGCATCAGTGAGATAGGTTCATGCCTGACTGCGAAAAATAAAATGAATAAAAGTCTTCCAGGGACCAGTAATTCATTTCTGCCCAGAGAAAAAACTTTTTTCGAGAAATCCAGGAAAAATATCGTGGGATTGATGATGAACTTTTGGTTGGTCACTTTCGTGGATGCTGGGGCGAGAAAAACAAAACAAAACAAAAAAATAATAATCGACGTATAGAATATCATGTCTGTCACCCCCGAGATGCGGCTCATTGTCATCAGCATAAATACCATCGAGGCTGTAGTTGATCCTCAAGACAGCCGACAACTGGTTTGGGCGTGTGAAACTGTCTTTACTCATCATTCATGCGTCGGGCGATGAAAATGCGGGTTCGCTATACGGAAATTCCTAATATCCCCGCAATTAAAGTCAGACTTTAACGGCTTCCCTCCAAGGATACTCGAATGAAAACTTTTCCGAGTCTGCTCACATTTACTTTTTTTTTTTTTTTTTCTTGGCACATGGTGGACTCCCTCTCTCTCTCTTGCTGATTGCAGAAGTGTTTTATGCGAATTGGAGCTGTCAGTCGGTACATTTTCCCCATTATTCGTCTTTGAGCAGCGTCTGATTTATGGCGAAATTTCCAGGGATTGACTTGAGGCTTACTGGGCGGCAAAAAAGTATGACTGCCGCGTTTTTCAGTCGTGATGACGAATCCGCTATAAATCAGGCAGTCCCGCTTTCGCCTTGAAGAGTTGAAAAACATTTAATTTTATTTATCGATGTGCAGCATTTTTATTTATTTATTTTTATTTATTTTTGCTCTGCAGGAGAGCGATCCAGACGAACCCGGATGTGAAGCCCGGCAGCTCGGTATGGAACTTGCTGGGACACGACTTTTGGGGCACCCCGTTGACGCACTCGGGCTCGCACAAGTCCTACAGACCCGTGACAGTGCTGACGTTCCGACTCAACTACTGGCTGGGTGCTGCGTGGGAGACGAGCAGCAGGATCACAGAGCCCAGCAGCACCAGCACCAGCACCAACAGCATCCACCGAGAGCCGACAGCAGGCAGTTTCCACCTGGTGAACGTGTTGCTGCACGCATGTGCCACGTGGCTGTACTCGAGTCTGTGCTGTCGACTGCTGCGACGCGCTGCTGTCGGCGCGGGTCGAGCCGCCTCCGTGGCGTCCCTCGCGTTTGCGGTGCATCCGGTGCACACGGAAGCCGTGGCGGGGATCGTGGGCCGTGCTGACGTTTGCGCTTGCATCTTTTTCCTCATGTCGCTGCTGGCGTATGTGGAGTACGCGAGGGCGAGGCGACGAGCAGCAGTGGACCCGACGGCGTCGACGACAGCCCGGCTGCTGCTGCGCAATACCGCCGCCACGCGTCGTCGAAGACACCACTCCTGTGATAGCTGCTGTTCCGCACACGCGGGGTCGCCTTCACCGCCGCCCTTGTCCTCTGCCTCGTCCACTTCTTCTTCTTCGTCGTCGTCTTCTTCTTCGTCTTGCTCCTCATCGTCGTGTTCGTCGTCGTCCACGTCCTCGTGGACGTCGTCGTGTGACGTCGTCGGCGAGGCGTCGTCCGGTGGTGCTGCTGGTGATGGAGGCTCGGGGCCACCTCGAGGCTGTGGTGGTGGTGGTGGTGGTGTCCCGAGACGAGGCCGGCTCGCAGTTTGTGTGATATTCGCCGTTTTGAGGTACAACTCGTTTCTCGTGCCCGAGTGACACGAGCCGCACACACGACACATGCTGAACGACCACCACCGGTTCGACTCCGGAGCACTAGACTAGTTGCGAAACGAAAACCATTCCGACTCAGAGTCTCTCTCTCTCTCGTCCTTCCACATGTACAGTACAGGAATATTTTTTTTATTCCGGGCCGCAAATTTTATGCACAGGCTATCTGTACGAGTATGACTCTGCACCCTGTTTGTCAATCGTGTACAGTACAGTACAGTCAAATCCCCGATAAGACGCCACCATTTGTCCAGAGCAATTTTTTGGCGGTTCAAAGTAAATTGGCGGTTTATCAAATATTTCATTTTAAATTACTGTACATGATTGAAAATACTCCATTTTCCTTTGTCAGTCATAGAGATGCAGTTTTTCTAGAAACTTCAGTAATTTCCCAAAGAGTATTGCTGTGATCAATGGATTACTCTGTCAGAACATTAATTTTGCTGCATCAATTTATTTAAATATCGAGATTAGGTCGATATATTGTTCAAATTTTTCAAAAAAAAAAGGTCAGTAGTATTTTCTTAATTCTTATAAATACAAGATCCTCAACAGAAATTATAATTCTGCCCCATTGTTGGTGTTGTAACAAAGACAAAACTAATAGGAAACAGTACTTTTGTTTCATCACTAATGCTGGCGGATGGCGGTTGGCATCTTATTCAGGTTTTTGTATAGAATTTAACATGGAAGAGATTCGTTTCATTCAAAATTTTGGCGGTTGCCGAGGGTGGCGCTTTATCAAGGGGGCGTCTCAACAGGGTTTGACTGTAGTTGCAATTTACAAATGAAAAAAAACACAATAACGAAATACAAACCATCGATTCAGACGCGTTATTTTATGGCTCAGGAAATGCAGTTGAGTTCTCTCAGTCTCAGAGCGCATGTACATTTTGAAAAGAGCACAATGATTCAAATTACGATTTGAAAATCCGAACCCCGTAGTGATTTGTGAAGATTAAAGGAATTTATGGACGGTTAAAAGTGAACAGAGGCATATAATTCCACCAATAACGCGACTTATTCATGCAATTCTATACAAGAAACGACGTACTGTACTTCTGTGTTACTGTATTTACAGTAAAGTTATTCTCAAGGATCATCTCGCCGAACTTTTGCTTTCTATGTGCGTGAACAAATAGCGAGTGAATTTTTAAAAGAAATGGTTCATAATATTTATGAATTGATGCATACACGGGTATAATGGAAGGTTTACCGTATACCGGGCTTCCTAAGACAGTTGTATAAAAAACATGAAAGATGCTCATCATTGGCGCACACAGGTTCGTGTACTTGAACTTCACACAGTATCGACGAGACAAATTGACCGATTCTCGTAAAATCACATATTTTGAAATGTTCTAAGATACCGTGCACCGATATCTCACTATAGAAGTTCATTCAATTATCTTTCTATTGTTAATACGATAAGTCTGAGAAAGTCGACGAACGCAAGAGAAATTAATTTCTGCCAATGCTGCGAGAAATTATTTTATTTCTGTATTTTGATTCAAATGCGGGTGCTCCTGAACTTTAAAAATACAGCCGAAAAAATGCAGTTATTTTAAAGATTGCTAAAGGAGCTTTAATTCAAAATTTCATTTTGCCACTTGCCAATAAGCCTACTGTGCGCATATTTTAAAAATCACAATATGATTTTTTCAGTTCCACTGCGCTGTTTGGTCACCAAAGGTATTTAAAATATTGTCGCAGAAAAAAAAAATTCGGGGTTTGATAAGGAAAGCAATCAAAAGGGGTTTTATTGTGCGATCTTGGACACTTTTTCAGTCGAAACAAACGGCACTTTTCACATCCGGCGCCATTTTGAACTGTTGTGCATGCAGTTGATTTCTATATACTGTATTGTACTCGAGTGTGCGACGATTAATTTCTATTCAAACGTTCCCCCCGATTTCTCTACATATGGCATCGCCCAACAGCGGCGTCGCCCGGCCGGATTGCACCTCGAAGGTGTGGCGGTGCTGGCGCTGACGACAGTGCTGTGCCTGGCGCTGCGCATTTACGTGATGGGCGCCAAGGCGCCCGAGACGCGGCGGCCTGGTGGCGCTCCCTGGCGTGTGTGCCGGTGCCGAGGACGCCGGTGGCCCGGGAGTCGCCCACCAGCAAGCTGGCCGAGGTGGCGGCCTGGGCAAACGGCGGCACCACCGCCACCAACGCTTCTACCACCATGCTGGCGCTGCGATCGTCCACCGCTCGGCTGTGAGTTCTTCTAAAGTACTTGTTGACTTTTATCAGACTTAATTGCAAGAAACATATATTTCCGACCCTAAGATCTGTGCAAGAGAAGTTCTTGGATATTTTTCCCATCATTTTCCCATTCATTCAGCTAGTTAAAAAAATTATCTCCAGCATAGAGGGACTTCCTTCTCTACTTGTGACTTGAATGTCACTTTTACAGTCGCCAAAATTTCAATTTACTGAACAGAGGTACAGTATTCAAAGCTCTGAGTGCTTTTAGTGAGTTGAAAGATAATCACTGAGTCAATTTCAACTAGCAGGCAATTTTTCCATGGAATTCTGAAGAATATTTCTTCCATAAAACACCTATTAAAATTTATATACTGCAAGTCTTTTGGAAAACAAGACTCAACTTAGGGACACACTAGATGCACCAATTACGTCCACATCTTGGGGTCTCACTGTATTTATTTTCCCTTTCCCTGACTTGAAAAAAATAAATTATGAATGAATGAATGAATGAATTCAGGCGGTCGGGGGAAGCTTCATCGACGCATCAGCAGCAGCAACACCAGCACCAGCACCACAGCAGCCGCCATCGACACCGTCGACCCCGCGACAAGTTGCACGACGTGTCGCTGGACGACTCCGAGGCGACCACGCTGGCCCTGTGTCTGCTGTCGGTGCCCTTCTTGCCGGCCACGAACCTCTTCTTCTACGTGGGCTTCGTCGTGGCCGAGCGAGTGCTGTACATCCCGTCCATGGGCTACTGCTTGCTCCTCGGCCTGGCCGTGGACAAGGCGGCGCGTGTGGCGGCTCGCTGGGCGCCGGCCGCGCGGCGCCGCGCCGTGGCGGCCGGCTTCACACTCGCCTGCGCCCTCTTGCTCGTGATATTTTCCGCCCGCACTCTGCGCCGCAACGAGGACTGGTCAACTGAAGAAAAGCTTTATCGCGCCGGGATCCCGGTCAACCCTCCCAAAGGTAGGACGGATTTCGAATTTAAAAAAAAAGAAGGAAATTTATCATGGAAATACTGTACTGAACCTATACGTACTGTACATCAGTCAAACCTCGATATTTAGTGCCATCATTTGTCCTGGCACATTTTTTTTGTGCACTAAGCGAGGGCCGGTCGCACAAAATTGGGAGGCTATTACTGTAGGCAAAATAAGCTGGTTTTCGGAATTTTTTTGGCTATTGTGGCTGTTTTTTTTTTTTTTGTGGAGAGAAAGCCACTGGAATAATTTGAGACTCAAATGCACTGCTTCTATAATTTATTAAATAATATAAAGTCCATTATCTTTTTGCCTGTATTGTGTCAAATAGATGAGCATGTCGGTTTCTTGAAGTTTTGTACCAATATTTCAATGAAAATGCACAATTCCAAGGTCATATGCTTTTTTTTAAGAGGCTACCTAAGCTTCATTGGACATGCTCTTCACGGATGCAGAGAACATCCGAAAATGTCAGCCAATGGCATGGAAATTCAGGAATATAATTTTCAAAATTACCCTGAACATGAACATGTGCCTGTCATCAGTAATGATGCATTGGTATCCCTTGAAAGAACCCTCAAGTTCTTGCATTTGGACCAGTTCTTTCATACGGGGCACACAATTGTTTATGGCACTTCAACTGAGTTGGGGCTAAATCAGGGTTTCCCTTGAGAACACCATGGAGGGGGATTTGTTCCAGGGAGATTTGTTGCACTATGCAAGGCTGGCACTAAATCGGGGGGCCCTATCCGATACTGAGTTTTGACTGCATGTAGATGTGGTGGTCATTGTGGATAAAGAAACATAGCTGCACCCGTTTCCAGAAAATCCCTGCTTCATTTTCTCATTTATTTGTATTGTTGAAACAAAAATATCTACCATATTTACTCAAGCACAGTATCACGTGCCCTCGAGTAAGACCATTTCCCACCCTGAAAATTCGATCAAATTCTATCCCCGAGTAAAACGCGAACTCCATTTTATGGACTGTGAAACTACAATATTTCCATAAAAAAAAGACACCAGAGTTGAAATTTGATTACGTATTCAACCTAAATTCAAGTAATTTTCAATTGTTTTGTTTTAAGAAAAGTTCATGTAAACAATTCCCCATTGTATTCAAGCCTACCTAAACTTTTAGCTTATTTGAAAATTCCATCCCCTCCTAAAATCGCATACTCATTTTCCCTCTCAAATTTGAGAAAGAAGGTGCGCATGGAGCTTGAGAAAATGATACATTTCATTTCTGCCGTGATGAGTTCAATTATGAACAATCAAACACATAAAAATGAATTTCCTGCAAAAAGAGCGCTTTTGTTCTTGCACTCTTCTTTTCCCAAGGCCAAGACAGATGAAATCATCAACAACGGAAACAACTCAAGAAATTACAAAGATATATTTTTCGACAGTTTTAAAAATTTTCCTGGCGAACATTATTTTATCAGCCAAAATTATTTCATATTGCATTTTATTAATTTGTAATTATTATATTTTCTGGGAGAATTTTGTCGAAAGAATTTAAATTTTCTATGAAGATGTGAGCTGTGTCGATAAATTCACTTTCGGAACAATGCATCTCTGAGAACCTTCAACAGAGCAGTCCGAAAAAACTGTAAATAATCGGAAACATGCCATAATTTTCCAATTAGTCTCTCTGATGACGTGTTTCAAAGCAGTGATCATCTGAAAACTAATAATTTCAGGCGCGACTCATAAATTACTTTCGTATATGTCCGGTGTTCAAATGCAGCAGTCGGATAGCGTTCTTTTTCTCAAATCAAACGCAAAACACTACATTTCCTCGTCGATAAAAATCGAGTTGATTACTCGCAGGACTTTCGAGGTGCTCTCCATAAACAAGAGCATCAGGGGAGGAAAAGGACGAAATGGAGTAATAAATATCTGGATGAGCTTTCGTTGGACGAAACCCCATTGACAGCAGAGGGCCCAGGAAAGCGGGGCCGGATCACCGCGCGATTTTTCGCACGGATCCGCGGAACATTCATCTATTGAGAAAGATATAAAAAGTTTTACATCTCTGCTCTTGTTGATCCGAAACCCGCGGGTGGGAACATCAAACGACCATTTTTATGAAGGCGAAACCTTTGTTTAAACGAACGAACTCGACATTTTGACTGACGCACTCTCGGGAAGATATTTCGTGCGATTGGGACTCGTCTCGATCGAGGATGGCAATACGCGAAGATAAGGCAGATATTCGCACAGTACTCTACCTAATCTGCTGAAAAATCAGCATGCACTTCTTCAAGTTTAGCACTTTGCGAATGAAGGCCTGCAATTTTCCCGTCATTCGTTGTTCGCGAATTATGGAGGGACAAAGGCTGATAGTTTTTAATCTGAATGATTCGAGCTACCTACAGTTGAAGTTGAGTCGAATTTTTTTCAGGTCCCTGACTAAATTCCCTTAGAAACAATGTATTAAGTACCTGTGCGACGCAAATGCTTTTCCTTTCAAACCCCCCGTGACTTGAATGAATTTTCTCATGCCCTCTGGCTATTATTTTTTTACACATGCAAGAGAAAAGCAGTAAAACCAGTAACTTGATGTGTTTTTAAAGGAAGTGACAGAGTAATTGGGCGAATGAACCCCTGCCTCCAAGTTTAGAATGCTGTAAACTCATTTAAGAAGCAATTTTAGTCTCAGAAAATCACTATTTACAATTTCCTGCAATTTTTTTTTATGTTTTCCACAAAAAAGGCTTCTTTCCCCAACTTGAAACCTCCCGGAGTCGAATATTTTTGCTGGTCCCATGAAATTTGACTTAGAGATGTTTGACTGTATGACCTTTGAAAGCGCCTACTCTAAATATTCGCTTTAAATCGTGTGAACGCAGAAAAAATCTTGACATTTTTCTAAAAACGTTGATGCTCGTATACTGCATGCTATCGTTTTGCACATCCTACATAATACATAACGGAGCCTATGGCCCTACGTTATCCAACATGCACAAACTTTGTACAGTACTTCAAGAAGGTGAAATACAGTACTGTAATTTCGAGCCTCACGCCTGCAAATTTACGGAAAAACGATTTCGGCATTTTTCAGAGGTTGGAATATTTCTGGTTTGTAAATAAGAGCTTCGTTCTTCATTGCTCTAAAATTTTCTTGTCTTTTTAAGATTTTCGGAGAACAGACATTTTATGCTCCAGAAGTTCTACCGAAACCCCTCTCCTCAATTTTTTTATTTCTTTTAGATGCTCGCAAATTTTTGTCAGCGTTCAATGATTTGGTCCAAGTTGCCAAAACGAGTTTTTGGTTTGAAAAATTGAATCGCAGAACAAATTTGTTGTAATACAGGCCAAATGCGCAGAAAGAAATTAAAAAACAATGTATACAGATTGGCACATTTTTCAAACACGGCAAGCATTATTAAAGAACAGAAAATATGGGAAGTTTGACAGCATGTTATTTCAGCTTCACCATGCAGGTTACAATTTTCTCATGCGCAGGCTACTAAATTATATTATCTCAAACAAATCAGAACGCCTTTAGCAGTTTATTACTGTATTTATTCGAGTGTCAGGCGCAAATTTGTTGTCAAAATTATTTAGAGGGACGTAAGTGGTTATATTTAAAAAAAAGTTTTCAAAGTATAGGTGCATATTATGCCTGATTCTAATGATAAAGTTTGGACCGATTTTACCAGAAAGAACTCATCTCAATGAAGACGATTGAAAACCTGTTGAATGAGGTTCAATTCATTGCTATAATTGGTTGAGATTTGCCTGTTTTTATTTTTGAAATATAGAAGTTTTGTAGTCACTAAAAATTGCTGATGTGCGTTTCACTCGGGGATACAATTTTATTAAAATTTTAGACGGAAAAACACAGGTGCGCGTCGTACTTAAAGACGCGTGGCCACTCAATTAGAATACGGTACCCCGGAAAAAGTATTCATTATCATTATAATTAATAATTATTGTTTTTTAATGCTTTTTTCTTCATTTCATTTCTGTTACGCAGCGTACGGGAACGTCGCGAATATTCTGAGCGCCAAGGGGATGAAGGAAGAAGCGGAGCAGGCTTACAAAATGGCCCTTTCGTACCGGTCCAACATGGCAGATGTTCATTATAACATGTTAGTATGCTTTCCCGTCTTTCCGAAGGAACCCAAACCGCAGCAGCAGGTACTGCGAGAGGCATGTGATTACCCCTCACCTCTGTGTTTTTCCTCGCAGGGGGATTCTGTTCCAAGAACAGAAACGATATGCTGAAGCTTTGCAAGCCTACAATCGGGCGATCCAGTTTCGTCCTCGGATGGCAAGTGAGTGCAGTTGAGAGGAAGGCCAAGGAGTTTAATATGTCATTACAGCAGTATATTCCTGGCCCTTTTTGGTGTTGTTGTTGTTTATTTTTGTTTTTGGGTAGCTCGTCGTGTATGAGTTACGATTAAAAAAAAAAAGTCAAGGGGTTATAATTCAGCGAACATCACAACTGAACGAGAATCATTACAGCAGCTGCTGCAAAGGAAAAGAGGGACTTATTTGAACTCTTAACAATTGCAATCATAGGATTGGCCCGGCAATAAGATTGCGAAACTTTTTGATGACACGAGGAAATAGCAATTATTCGTAGAGTAGTCTCACAGAGCAATATTACATCATATTGTGATCAAATTTCAAATTATTGATCACTCAGGTGGAAAAAGAAGGGAGTTACCATACGAAAGATCGATTTGAGAGCTTCGTCCATGTCTGCGCGTATGATTCGTAATGAAAAACAATAGACTTCATGCATTATTGTTTCAGAATAAAGGCAAACGCTGTCTTAATTTACGGTCATGTGCCGATTGAAAAAGTGGAAATCAAGCCTATGAAGTGTTAACAGTATTGAGCGTCCTTTTCTGGAAACTAATTGGGAGACCGTGATGCTTAGGAAAATTAACAAAAATTACAGTTCAGTTGCTACTTTTTCCTCACTGAAAAAAACCGTAACAATTTACGATTGATAATGTGTGTAGACTTACAGCAGTACTCATTTCTTTCACCACACGAAGATTTCTTTCACCACAAATCTCTTTACAACGAATTATATAGGTTAACCAAATTATTTTTCAAGAGCGGTAAAGTCACTTGAAACAACTTTATTTGAGCTTATGCAACAACGTTCTTTTTCTAGCGAAGATTTATTTTTACACGCAATGATTTCCTAACTCGCCCGACAATTTCAGTTGAAAATTGATTGAGAATGTTCTGTGGCTTTTAAATTAAATCGGCGCACTTCGATTCGTAAATTGATCAATATGGCGAATCTATTGATCGCAATCTCGAAGAACGAGTAAATTCCTGAGTTAATAATTGTTAAAATACGAATTTGGCTGAGTTGTTGGGTGATACTAAGGCACAAAAAAATTAACAGATATTTGAAGTCAGTGTGCTTCTGAATTCCCATCGCTTGACGTGTGTTAGTCGTGTTATACTCGTGTATACACTAGTTCTCGCTGTTGGCCACCGAGATGAAGGTGGCTTCCATGATTCTGACCAGCATTCATTCGTTCTGTACTGTACAAAGAGAAGACTCAATGACTGATGATTGAATCGATTCCCTGTCGTATAGTGGCTCATTTGAACATGGGTCTGGTGCTGGGCATCCTGGGGAGGAAAGAGGAGGCGATGGAGATTTATCGCAAGTGCGCCTTGTTGGACGTGACGGGCCTGAAAGACCCGCGAACTCACGAGGCGACGAAAACGTCGGCGCTTTTCAACTTGGGGCGACTTCTAGCCGACGAGGGGAGAGTCTCGGACGGGATCGAAGCGTATCTCGAAGCCGTCCAGAAGATGCCGTCCCATTACCAGCCCCAGGTCAGTTTGATTTTATTTTCATTTTTTACTTCAACGGCGGGGAATGTATGCGAGAAGAACCTCTCTACAACGAAATACAAGTGATTAAATTCGTTGTGGATAGTAATTCCGTTGCCGAGTATCACAACACCACGAGAGAGGATTCTCGTACAGTATATGAAAAAAAAATTGTTGTACCGAGAAAATCGCTATAGACAAGATTGCTGGAGAGAGAGTCAACATGAGTATCTGTGAAACAATGCAGCAACTTAATTAGCATCCTCCTCTACAGCATTTTTAGTTTCGTATTTAATTTGACAACATATGGCAACAGATGGATGATGTTGGAAACTTTTTGGCATGATTATAAAATTTATTTATGAAAAAAGCCAAGATATACTCCCTTAGTCATTTTGAATTTTGAGCCCTTCGAAGATGATTAAATTTTTTAGGTCTTGGGAAATCAATGTGAGCATTGATGCAAAAGGTCTGACACTTCGAATAAGACAGTGCTTTTTTTCATCCTTATTAAACCACAAATTTACTGCAATTTGAGAACAATTTTTTTTCCGCCGACTCGCTCGTTGTCAAGATCGGGAAACTTGAAACTTTTCATTTTACAGAATAAAGATTTTAATTTCAATTTACCGCAGCTTACTAGAGACAATTTTTACATTTATTCGATTTGTCTTCGAGACACGGGGAATTTTCTGAGGATATTATGAAAGATCTTCTGAGAAAGCTAGAAGTCGTTTATCAACGCAGTTCTGGAAAGATTGAGCTGTCAAAAAATTAGCATGCAAATCTAAACGATTATCGATTCTGAGGCGTTCTCTGATTTGTTTTTAAACCTAAAAGTTTGAATGGTTATGTGCATAAATCAATGTTTCAAATGCTATTATGCCCAAAATTTAATTTCGAAGGCCTCCTTACGTCGTGCAAACCGATTCATGCCTTCAATGCTCCCTGAGCCATGTTGAAAATTTATTCAAATCCATCAGATTTAGCTTGCAGCTCTTCTTGTCTCCCTCGAAAACCATACGTTGAATGTCGACCTGAGTTAGAGCTTGAAAGCTTACATTTTGCAACGCGAATAAAATTATGAAGATAAATTAGGTGCTTTGCGGCGAGGCCGTAAAAACTCAATTGAGGGCTACTTAATCTGATATTTTGCATCCAGAGATGTGCGTAATGATAACACATTGCATCCCTTCAATGTGCCGGAAGAAACCATTAGCAAGCGTATCGTAAATCACAAAGCAAGCCCTATTATATTTCCGCATAAAACAGGCGTATATCGCCATGATGCGCGGGATAATGTTGAATTTTGATCCACAAATGCCTGCAAACCTGAAGTGAGATGATATAGCCGAGCCAAATTATCAACCCTTGTCGGAACTAATTTGATCCAATTTAATTCAGAAATTACCTCTGAAATGAAGAGCGCCTGCATGTCATCTGCATCCCTGTATAACTCCAGTAATTCCTGGAATAAACAGTGCACATTTATTTCCATCCCAGTTACCGTACATTTTCACATCCAGTCGACACCTCTGTAGCAAAAATGTAATTTTCACCGTTTTGTTTTTGAATTTTTGTAAACTCGATGTCGCTCCTTGGAGAGATGCTTTCCTGCGCACGGCTCATCGTCCCTGTCGCTTATATACGACCCCTTGAGCTCTATGGGCTCGTTCTCAGCCAAAGTCGGTCTTACCGAAAATTCCATTGAAAAGCCGGAGTTGAAATTAATAACGAAGATGTAGAGGCAGTCTCATTACTGCCGGGAATGGAAGGCCAATTAACTAATTGGTGCCTGTGTCAGCAACCACGCCTGGTTCTGTCACACCTGACAAGGAGACGCCGATCTAATCTCGGCCTCTAGGAACTGCGTGTTCGGTAGAGAATGCGGGTGCTGATTGATGCTGTCCTACGCCCCGGGGATTGATCGTAAAAATAACCAATGATAATTTACTAACCACCCGAAGCCGCGTACTGACGCGAGAAGTCGCGCCTCGGATTATTATTATTATTATTGATATTCCCGCACTTACAGAAACAGAGTGGATCCAAAGGAAAATGTGTTTGAGGCTCATGCTGGAATAAAAGGCATAAAGGTATACATCCATCTATCTTTCGCAAAGACAAAGTCCTGCTGACATTACGAGTAAAGCTTCTCATCAAACTTTTCATGTTCTCTATATATATATACAATATATACGGACGATCTCGCATAAACTTGACATTTTATCCAAATTCACGATATGCTTGAAACAGGACGGTTCTGATTAAAGGCTGAGAGGAACAATGAAATACAGTTGGTACAACGCTGAGTGTGCTTCTATATACAGTACCTACTGCATCACAACAAGATTACATACGATAGATCGCTTGAATTTCCTGTTATAAACATTCGACGTCATTCAGATTTTATCAGGTATGTATTCACTTACCCGAAGACAAGCAAAAAAAAAGGGCACATATTTTGCGTTCCTTGTTTGATGCGCACAAGGAAAACTTTTGGTCCTACCAACCATTTTTTTTTTTGCGTTGTGTGTTTGTAGAAATAAAAAAGCTGATATTCTTTCTAATCACAGGAGTTCGACATATTTTCAGTGGCATTTTTATCTTGCTACTTGAAATAAATTGGCCTCATTCGTTTTTTTCTACGCTACGCATCAATTTTTTCTCAGCTGGATTAGTTCGTCTTTTAGTGACAGAGAATCAGAACCAGAAAAGTTAAGGCGCACCGAAAATACGACAATAAGATAAATAGATATAGTGTTTCTTTCGCTTCTTAAGTGAGCAGGCTCAGATTTCATCTTTAATTTATGTGTTGTGTGAAATAAGCAATAATATGCGTATCGCATTTCTTGCACGTGCTGAACGCTCTTCGAAATTGAAATTTTTTTTATTGCATAGCTTCGAAAAGTGTGATATTTTGCGGAGGTTTTATTTTCGAAAATGTCGTATGATATTGCCGTGCGTGTCACGAAGGTGCCTGAAGCATTTGATGATCTCAATTTCCGGACCGCGTGTATTTCCTACAAGCAACAGCACGGGATATCAGTTGAAAAATTCCTCGATGGAATAAGCAGGTGTTCCTGCCAAACTTGAAAGCGTGTCTTAACGATGATCGATTCGTGTTCGCAGAGTTTGTACAACATGCTGGGAGAAGCCTATTTTAAACTCGGTGACTGGGCGGAAGCAGAAAAATGGTACCTCGCCGCCCTGAGGGCGAAACCAGACCACGTGCCCGCACACCTGACCTACGGCAAACTTCTCGCCAAATCCGTGAGTATAGTAGTTCTTCCTCTGCGACTTGTATCATTCACCCATGTAGTAAAGCAATCTTACATCTTATACAATATGCAGGGTGGGCCAAAGAAAAATTGAACCAATTTTGAATAACTATACATGGCTCAATTCACAAGGAGTCTTGGTTGTGCCTTGTGAACACTGAAAAGCAGCAAATAAAGTGTTCTGTTCATTCATTCATTCAACATAGCTTGGTACAGTGGCACATTATGCTATACAGCAACAATAAAGAAGCACCAAATGAAAGTTTGTTTATTTTCCTTCCAAATCATACGTGATTTTATATGGTGCAAAATGCCATATAAGCATAAGAAAGATTTAAAAGTACTGGAATTCAATGAAGAGACCCTTTCTGAAAATAAAACCATTCTGGGAGACTTCATCATCTGGAGCTCATACCAACGTTCGTAACATGCTTCTCTGGCTTTTTAGTTCCAGGAAAGGATATTTATGCGACTCGCGACAATGGAGTTCGAATTTCAACAAAGGAGCATCTTGATTGAACCTCGTGAATGCTGAAAAGCAGCAAATAAAGTGTTTTGTTCATTCAGTCATTCATCCAAATGCCATGACGTGGTCACAAAAGCCATTTGAATGAAAACTTTCCAAAAGAAGAGTTCAGGCAACTCTTCCCACCGACCTGCTGTTCTCCACAACTTTTTTTTAAAGGGGTAAATGGGGTTGCAGGGCCCTTAATTCAATTAGAAAAGCTCACAAGGCAGGTGCACACCATAAAACTATACATATCATTAGAAGGGAAATTGAACAAGCTTTCATTCGGTGTTTTATTTTCATTAATGTAGCTCGATTTCTGACCGAGCTATTATTGTGTGTCAAAAATCGGTTCCCTTCTTTTAGATCACCCTGTAAATCGTAGAGGTGAAAATGACCATTTGGGTCTTTGAGGGGAGAATCCAAGTGCTGCAAAATCGTACTTTCCCAACATTGGCGAGAAAAGCTTATAAAGCTTGGGTTTGCGGTTTGAATTCGTTCTGCGTGATTCACCCTCGGGTGCTTTCCACAATGTTTTTATTTTCCTGGCTCCATTTACAAGTAGAGCAAAGGTCTATATGAATGTAGTAAAACGTTGCTCTTAAAATGAGAATGGATTTGCTTTAAGAAGGGGGAAAATCGCTGAGTGGTTTCGAGACTCGAATATGAGCGGGGTTTTATTGTCCTAGACTGGCTTTTAAAACCATGCCGGGTGTGTCTTCAATTTGACTTTCTTTGTTGCCCAAAGGATTAAAACATGGAGTGCTGGTCTGACCAACACAATCTTGGAAATAAGTATCGAGTGTAAAATGCAATCAAACGGATATATTGCTGCCGTTAACGGCTCAAGGGCGTGAGACTTCGAATTCAAATGCTATACGAAATGGATGGATGACTCCAGTGATAACCTGACCAAAGAAAGAAAATCAACGCAATATTCCGTGTCTAAGGAAATTGAGTGTTGGCGAAAAAGTACCTTTTGCATTGTCATGAAAAAAAATCGTTTTCTTTTTCGAAGCCAGAAAAAAGAAGTACTGTATATATTCGATGCGTAATCGAGGGGTCTTCGTATATTTCTTGTAAATAATGCGCGGATGATCATTTCCCAAAAATAAACTCGAAATCGTTCTCAAATTTATCTCTAAATATTCATTTTGAACAAGTTCGACCAAAAGTTCTGGAAGTTTTCTGAAAGATGATCACATTACTTTTAACTGATACCCTGCATTGTTCGCTTCATAATAATCAATCTCTTCAAGACCAAACACCTTGAATTTTGAATCATGTAAAATTTGCCTGTATTTAAAGCATGGTTTTTCTCGCGTTGAGTTCATATTTTGTGAGGTTAATAACGTATTTCTGTGAATACGGATGATCATTCTCCCAAAATAAACTAGAAATCGCGATAAGATTAATCTTAGCATTTTTTATATTGAATTCGCAACCAAAATTCTATAATTAAAATAAAAATGTTCATGATACTTTTTCTGATTCCCTGTATAGATTCATTCAAAAAGATCACTCTCCAAGACCACCTTGAATTTTGAATGTTGTACATTTTTCCTAATTTAAAAAATGTGTTTTCTAGTGTTGAGTTCATATACCTTGAGGTACATTTAGAATTTTTTCTGTAACATGGTTTTTTTAGATAGGTCCTTCATATTTTAGCCCGCAAATCTTTTGGTGGTTTTCATCACCTGAAGATACGCTTTAACCTGAATGATGTACTCGTCAGGAGTAATTGAAATTTTTTGAAAACACAGCTCGACCCGCTGCTGTAAACTGATTTCCGACGAGTTTTTAGGTTTAAAAATAAATAGAGTTTTCAATAAATCGGCGTTTTCAGAGAGGTACGTTCCATTCTCGCGTTTTTAAAAGGTTAATTCCAGATCAGAAATGAAATTAATTTATCTTTTTGCGCATTTCCGGCATGGGATTACTGGATATCGATTCATTTATCTATGCTGCACTACGGATCGAATTTAGTGTCCAAGTGCAAGCAGATTATTTCAAATAAATAGAGTGAAGAGTAAGACCTGAGTGGCATTCGAAAACGCGTGAAAAATATTTGAGAAAGCGTCGAGTCGAGTCGAGTCCAGCCGTGTATATTAGCCAGATGAGTTGGGTTTTCGGGGCCGGGCCGGGAAAGGGACGGGGTAAAAGAAGTTTTTAGGTCTCGGAGGTGGCGAGACAAAGTATCCGTGTAGACATTGCACTTCCCAAGGCCCGTGTTATTCCGTACTGGTCACAGGACTTTGATCCTGCGAGTCCGAGCCTAGTGATGTCCAGTCGTATCAAGATGGGGGTCATCAGATCAATTAGTCTCGGATATGGCGTCGTGAGCCGGAGCGCGTTGCCACACGGGCCGGGGGATCCCTCTTTCGATACGCGAGCCCGTTTCAATATCCTCCACCCCTTTTTTTCTTCTTCTCACTCACTCACTCACTCACTCTTTCGTCTTTATTTATTCATTTATTCATTTCTTTTTCTTTTTTTCATTTGTGTGTGTGTGTGTGCATGTGGATCGACTGATCCATTAAAATCACTGGCCTGCTGTGCTCGCTGTTGCGCTCCGGACACTTGTTTTATTTAGTCACCCGGCCTCGAGTCATTAATTTATGGACGCAATCAACCGCCTTTCCGTAGTACATACAGAACGTGTCAATTGCTCGGAAAAACTGTACAGTACCAGCTTTCTTCGTCGTCGTTATTTTCCTACTTGAAAAAAAAAAAATGTACCGAATCACCAACTGATGATTAGCTTATCTGATGTCTCGCACTTGGTTGTCATGTCGCTCGAATTCTGTGGATAAATATTCAGAGCTAACTCGTTTACTGAAATAAGAGGAAAATATCAGATTTGTATGAAAACTTATCGAGTTTGTATAAATAACATCTTCAGCTTCATCACGAGTGTGTAATTAGGTTCGTGAACCAAAGCGTATACAGGAATTGAATTTGCGCATAATGTTATTCTGCAGTGAGTGAAATTACCGAGAGAGGAGTCTTGAAAATAAATTCATTTGTGTCCGGTTCAATCAAATTTAGAAAGAGACGATGTGAAACCAGAATGATGCAGCGTAATTTCGATGAATGAAGCCACTGCAATTTTGATCAGTGCCAATATTATGCCAGAAAATTACAGAAAATAGCGCTAGATTGCGAAACTTTTTAACGGTCAGTTTTACGTGCAAGAAATATTCTTACGAATACGGGCCACTTTGAATCAGAGTTCGCAAGAATAAATAATATTTAAAACCTGTGGCCGTTCCATTTTTTGTTGTACCTTCCCTCATCAAAAGGCATGAATCTGAGCATGAAAATCTCCTCGAGGAAAAGGTGGAAATGCTTCCATATTCTCTGCTGAATGTCCTAATAAATCCGGTACTTTTAAAAATTTTCAGGGCGAACTTCTTTGACCCCGAGATGATTATTGCGTATCTGAACTCGAAAGAAGGTTGGAATTGTATTTTGGTTTCTTCTGCAGAATATGATGGCGTTTTAATTGCATTTTATTCTATTTTTTTTCGTGACAACAAACCATGGGTGGCACGATTTGGCGTAGGAGGAACTGTCGTGGGTTGATCTCGTTATTGTGAATCTGCGGGTAATCAAGCGACTTATCAGCATGAAACTCGTTCTTGGGCGTTTGACTAAAAAAAACAACTTCAATTATTGTTTCCGAAGGATTTCGCCTTTGAGTTCCTGTGTATGAGAATTGTCAACATCTTAGGTAATTGAATTTCCATATTTACCCTCTTTTAAATGAAAGGTATTTCTTTGGTAACGCGTTTAAGAAAGAATGTGAGAACCCCGTGGCCACTTGAGATCCTCGTCATCTCGTCAAATTGAGTAATTTGAGCCAGCCCACCTTTTACCTAATAGTTTTTCAATTCAATTTAAAGTCTCTGGCGTAATTTTACAAGTTGATTTGATGCAATATAACGTCGATGGAGGCCAGATGTAATTTTGAAGGAGTTATTGACGTAGCTGTAGGGTGAGCTTATGACGAAACCGTACCATTTATGTTTGACAGATTAGGTTAAAGTTGGCAATTTTTTGTTTCTCGTTCATGTCTGAAAAAAGAAACGAGGGTATTCATCTGCATTTTTGTTGTTGTTGCAACATTCCACTTCCCGAAAGAGTGTACTCGATTTTCCTACAAGTGAAGGTGCTCGACACGAGCCAAGCTTTCCTGCAATATGCACGCATAAAACAATTTCAAGTCTGCGGGGTTTTAAAGGACGTGAAAAGGCGATCTAGAATGAAGACATTTTGTCTGAAATATTGGCAAGCAGTTGGGTGCAGGAAAGGATCGGGTTTGCTGAGTCGTAAAAATCTCGCGCTGCAGTGATTGTAAATGTTTGCAACCGATAATAAACGCGCGAAAGTCGCGGTCGCGAGAATAACTTTTTTTTATGCGCGAAAGAACGCAAATATTCGGATCTGGCTCTCGGTTCGCCCACTGTGCGAATCTATTTTTAATCGAGTGTTCTTTGGAAATTCTGTGACTTGCAGAATCGCGTGGAAGAGGCGGAGGAAATGTTCAAGCGCGCCAAGGGCCTGGCGCCAGAAGATTGCACGGTGTACCAGCATTTCGGTGCGTTTGATCTCTTGGACTTTTATACTCCCGATCATTATTTTCCTCTTTCTTTTTTTTTTCTTCATCCGCTGCACTTGCTTCTCGATAATTTTTGGCTGAACGTGCATCTGCTAAAATCCGGCATTGTTCTCCCGCTCGCAGGGCAATTTTTGGCGGAGAGCGAGCGGCACGAAGAAGCGGCGGAGAATTACATTCGGGCGGCGTCCCTGGCGTCCCACGACTACGAGATCGTGTTCAACGCCGCCAACACACTGCGCCAAGCTGGTCGCAACAAGGAGGCCGAGAATTTCTATCGAAAGGCGGTCATCCTGAGACCCGAGGTTCGCCATCATCCGACCATTGCGATAATCTCATTCTTTTCTCACTTATTATTTAGCACCGTATTCATTTCAACGTCAGACAGACTTCAAAAATAGAGAAACAAAGAAGGAAAAAAAAAATATCACGAAGGCATATTATTTGATTATACAGTACTGTACTCATCGCGGCCAGCATCACAATCCTTTGAATTAAAATGGAGACTTATATGCATTGATTTAAGAAATATTTACTACCTGTCTACACAATTCTGAAGCAACGAAAACTAAAATCACAATTCTTGCTGAAATTTTATTTTTGAGGAGGCTAAAACTGGCATCAAAATACGTATAATTTACTATAATCAGTTTTGAGGAGCTCCTCCGCATTCACATTTTACCATAATTCCGTCAGTAATTTCGGCCAGCTCTGAATTGTGTTTTGAAGTCAAGCTGAAAAACTAAACTTTTTTCCAGTTTATATACCGGAGGCCTTTGCTTCCATTGTGTTTCAAGTATTTTTAAATCAGGAAACGACGAATAAGAGTGCTGAAGTTTTCAACATTGAATCCACGAAAAAAGTTCTTCACGCAACTTGTACATAATATTTTCATGACAGTCATGAGTGATTCTTTTGAGATAATAATCTATTCTAATTGCAAGATTTTTTTTGCATATGGTCAAAACTAAAGAAAATTGACGCTGGAACGATTTTTTAATTTCAGTCAAAGCCACAATTTGATTGACATTCATTAACGTTAGATAATTCATTTTTAAAAACAAATTTCAATTTTCCATTCGATGCCCTGCAACTCCAATATGCATATCCGAGTTGTAAAAATTTATTTCGACCCTTCTTCCGATTTTCCAGCGGAAAATAAATTTATGCTCGGAATTCATTTAATCGCAGCTTTTTCCACACACACGACTTCCCAGAAGCGGATAATAAAGCTGAAGAATTTGCCTCGACGCAGGAATAAAAAAGATGCCTCAAACAAAGAAGAAATTCCTCTCTTAAACAAAAACGCACGAAGAACTCTTGAAACAGAATTGCGTTTTTTCCCCCTTCAAATTATCCCGGAACCGCCAGCAGTCATGCGAACTCAGGAGCGTTTGAAAAGAATTCAGAGAAAAATAAATAAGCGTTAAAATAAATATCTCTCGCTTGTCTGCACTTTTGTAAAGAAAAGGATTTTTTCTTTTCCTTTCGCTGGATGACCCGTAAAAAATTAGTCTCAGAAACAGGACTGCGTCAACAGTAATTGCGTTATATCCTTATATAACGGGGAACTCGAAAGAGAAATTGCATCGTGTTTATACATACTGAATCTTCACGCGCTGAAAGAGCCGATTGATGACATTATCACAGAGTTGATGTGTTCGTTTGAAATTAGACTGGCTTTTAATGTGACGTTATATGGAACGGAATGAACCACGCTCTATCTGATTGTATTCCCACGCTTGTAGTTCTTTCACGTCACTTGAATATTCATAGCACGGGCTTGTAGCTGTCAGTCGTCACAGAATTCATTAGAATGCATCGCGGAGAAACTCTGGCGGACTTGTCGAACTTTAGTAATAATCCTAGAAATCCTGATGACGTAGGGAACAATTCGAGTCATCCGTCTTAGTGATCCGCGGTATGCACTGAATTATCCAGCGGAATGGTTGCGCAGAAAATCGAAGCGTGTCTGCTAAAAAAAAAAAAATAAATAAAAAGAACCGCAGTCTGAAAACAACGGAATTTGGAATTGAATATTTATGAACGCTGAAATGTTTCACGAACACGACAGCATAAACATGATCTATAAAAATGGCTGATGTTATTTTCGGAACGCCTCAGATTACAAACGGACATTTTTCGCAGAAGTTTGGAATATAAAATTTCTGCTGAGTAGTAAATGCCGCAATATTTTGCACATTGTTTTTAAATTTACTAGGTATAAAAAATGTAATTCACTCTTGTGTTCTGTGTGTATAGCTCATCATAATATCGTACTTTGAAGTAGTGCTTCGAAATTTTTAACCTCTTTCGGTGAATATTAGCATGATTTATCGAGAAAAAATCGTGACTAATATTTGAAATACTCCGCGTAAAAAAAACTCCTCCAGATTTTTTGAGACCAGAAGGCTTTTCGTGATGTTCATTTTTGTTTGCTGAATGTTTTTATCTTGCTCTCTGTTTGCCGATTTTTTGTGTACACGCGTTATTGTTCTGAGAGGCGCCGTGTTTGAACGCATTCACTTACGAGGGTTGTCTCAGTTAGGCACGACCTCGGATATTTTCTGAGTTGATGTGATTGTAAAAAAGAAAATTAGTACATAGCCCATGATGTTTTCAGGTTCTGGTATTTTTCTCGGATTTTTAGAAATTTATTTTCAGTGTACTGCATGATGATGAATGAAAACTTTTCAGTTACATCCAGAGTTCTCCAGCACCCATGTGGACATGTCACAGGGTGCTAAACATTTGTAAAAGTTTGAATTTTTGTTGTTTTACATATTACCTTATTTACTCCAGTACCACGAGCCCTTAAGTAAGGCATTTACAGGAGTTTTTCAGTTGGAAATTTGGCTAAAATCTTGTACCCAAGTAAGACACTCACCCCAATTTTTAGTGAATCAAAAACCACAAAATTTCGAAAATGAATTAAAAAAAATTTACTTCAGACATGAATTGAAAAAAAATTGGATCAATTTTCAACTTTTTCAGTACAAAAAAGTTATCTTGTTACAATTGTTTGAAATTTCTCCATTTTAATTAAGTATAATGCACACATAACTTCCTAAAACTTCTTGAAAAATTTGTACCCGCTTATGACATGCACCCTTCTTCTTATTCTGAGATTTGAGAGAAAAGGTGCGCGTGGTACTTGGGTAAATACGGTATCTCTTCTGCTTAATTTTGACTACGACAAAAAATAATCAAACGTTTTTCAGCTAGCTTGACAAATTCTCTGGTTCGTGTGACACAGACGTAGAACTCTAGCAGTAACTAAAACGTGTTTACGTATCATCATGCAGTAAATTGAAAACTTTTTGAAAAATGCGGAAAAATTCCTGTAGAACCTCAGAACATCATGGGCTATGTCAAATCTTTTTTGCAATCTTACCTTTCATGATATCAGATGTCGAGCCGAACTGGGACAACCTTCGTGATAAGTGAACGCAAAAAAATAAGTGAACAAAGAGCAAGACAAAAACATTAAGGAATTAAGGACGAGGTATACCATTCTGTACTGTACTTGATGCTATCTGTAACCGGAAGGAAGGAAGGAATGATTGACCAAAAAAATAAAATTGATTGATTCCTTTCTCCAAGGAGGCCACGAGTCACATGAACCTCGGGGCCATGTTGCACGTGAACGGGAAGCTGGTGGAGGCCGAAGCGAGTTACCTGGAAGCCCTGCGTCTGAAGCCCGACGATCAAATCACTCAGGCGAACCTGAACAAACTGCGCCAGTTGCTGCTCAAAGTCAGCACTAGGATCAATTCCTGACGCCTTTCATCTTCGTTCGGCGGAATGGAAACTTCTACTTCCGCCTGTATTTTTGCCTCACGGTTTCCCCCCCCCCCCCTTTCATCATCCCCGACGACGAAAGAGACGGAGAGAGAGAGAAAGAGGGAAAGGCATCAGTGCTGAAAGTCGGGTTCGTTTTTCATGGCGACCAGGTCGAAGGTCAGCAGCAGCAGCACCATAGCAGCAGGACAATGATGATGATGATGATGATGATGGGAATATTATAAGCGACCAGTGACAATCTCGGAATACGACGAGGGGAAAATCAAATTAAATCAAAAGCAAGCGAAACTGTGGGACTGATATTATCCATTTTTGCGTGATCCGAATTGTTGTGTGTTTTTTTTTGTTCTCCCTAACTCGGAATTCTGCGTGTTCCCTGCCATGAGCGGAAAATGTTCAGCACTTTCAGACAACAATTGGCTTCTATTCTGAACTCGTTCCTCCCGTCTTTTCTTTATTTCTCTCGTCTCAGCAGTGGACAATGTCGAGGAAATAAGGCCTGATCAGAGACAAAGGATTCCGGCGTGTTTTCCTTCGCGTGTCTTCTGCATGTATACCCGTGCTCATGGCAGTAGGTGATGCGGTTGATGATAGATTTGTTGCTTTTGGCCAAAGAGGAATTAAATAAAACGAAAAGAATAATTATTTGGACGAAATACTGCGAGTGCTTCCTTTTCAATGTTTGCGCAAAAATAGGCTGGAAATGAGAAGTTGCGGGAAATGCAGAAAAAAAGACAATGATGTTTTTTTTTAAATCCTCCATTTTAAACGAGCAAATGTCTATTCCTTCTCGATCATGATGCAAATTGTCAATTGAAAATAATTAGCAAAAGGCGGTGTATAGTTAAAGTGAGATTTCAATGAATGAATGAATGAACAGAAAACTTTATTTGCTGCTTTTCAGCGTTCACAAGGTACAACCAAAACTCCTGCATCCAAACCCCCTCCCCACCCAACCCAACTCCCCCAAATACATTCAATCACTTCAAAGCATGAAACAAAGCATAAACCAATGACAAAAATAAGAGAACACACTCTACAAAATAAAAACTGGACATCCTATGCGTATGTTGCATACAAACAAGATTTCAAGCCTACGTGTAATTTTCTGAGGTAATGAATTTACGTCGGAAAGCGTAGCAAAACCTTTTGATGCCTCAATTCCTAATGTGGCGGATTCAATTTCATTTTGCGTCTGCCAGCACTACCTGATGAAGCTGATTCACGAGACCCGTCTTCTTTGCAAATAATAAAATCGTTATTATTCAAGCATTTGTCCTGAATTATGCTGGTTTTTAGCGTTTTCTATTTTTACGCATATTTGGAAAATTTAGCTGGAATATCTGGCACATTTCACTCAACACTTCTTTCAAATTATCGCTTTTCATGAATCCAATTCAATCCGATCTCGGCGCACCTTTCTGACAAAATTCAATCTTTCATCGAAATTTGATAGTACATTCCTAAAAAGCGTGAAATTATTCACTCCATCTGATGCCGCGAAATTTCAACTACAGTATTCAAATTGTAAAGGACTGAAAATCGAGTTTCTGCGTTTTGCTTGAACTGCATGGAATAATCAATGGAAATTAGTTTTTAGCTAAATTCTTAGTAGGACTCTGCCTCATCCATGGATAATATTTACCTACAGAGAGATGCTCTTACGTCAAACATAAAAGAAATGATCATCGGCAAGTAAATTTTCTCTTAGTTCAGTGAACCATGATGTGTTCTAAAATTTAGTCCCGATTCAATCACAAAAAGTCCAAACAATTTTATTGAGGGAGATTTGACTGAAAAGTTTCAAGCTATATATAGGGAGGCTTCAAATTAATTTGACATCCGGGGATTGGACAAGGTTTATTTGGAAATTCAATTTAGGAAAGTTCAGGTTGACCCGGTCCAATGACTACATCATTCAAATTTATGTTGCGTAATTTTTCCCCGCGAACTTTGCTCCCGAAAACTTTCGAAATTCTATAACTTTCTGGATTTGAGAGATCTTTGAAGAACCAAAAATTAACATCTTTTTGAAGGGTCTGTGATTTTCTCCAAATTCTCCCACATGCCTCACATTCCCCAAGAAGAACCAGAGGAATATATCTCTCAAAGATTGAGCTCAAATCGAGCAGATCCTGTTGCAAAGAAGGGCACAGCAGGTTAAGCGTGCAAAATTCAATACATTTGTTTTGCGGAACAAGTTTCTCGGTTGATGATTTTCGCCTTTCATGTTCTTTTCTATGCATTTTGGGATTTGGAATATTGAGGAATTTTGAGGAAAAGAGTGCCAAGGGTGATGGGTGCTCATTGTTTTCTTCGCGTCATTCATAAACGAAAACCCTTCAACCCATATTGCAATTATGTATGTGTATTATTCATGAGAGGCTTTTCTCAATTTTTCGGATAGACATTCATGATGGGGGAATGGATGAGAAGTTGTCTAAGCCTTGGATTGATGCGATGTGACAGTTGGCTGATAACTTGGAAAACATGCATCTCCTTTGTACACTGGGGTGATGAAGGGGTGATGGGGTGATGAAGGGGTTTAGGGTTTGCGGAGGGATTACAAACTTTGATTATGGCTTACGATTTGGCAGTCGTCCCATTTTCCATATACGCATGCATTCTGAAGTCTCTTTATTGCAAGATTTATTGGAGGTTGAGTGGACCTGAATGATGAAAACACGTTGTGCAGATCCTCGGACTCTTTGCTGAATAATTCAAATATCAAACCGAGATGATAGAAGCCACATTCTGAACTTTTGAGATGACTGCAAAACTTGGCATTTCACAGTTGATTTCAGATATTTTTTTGGATCAAGCTTTTGAAAAAAATTCCTCGCTAGGAAAATCATATCATTTGAGGAATAAAATGTTACTCTTATTGTTGAGAACTTCGGCGCGTGCTAGTAATTAAAATATAACTATACTCGATCAAACATTCAAAAAAGGGTCCTTCTGAGCCTCAGAGAGGACCAAAAAACAAGTTTGGATAAAGGACTATCTTGATCTGTTCCATTCCAAGGAAATCAACTTTGTCTGTTGTTATCTTAACTTGCTTGATAAAATATATTTTCTTTGGTCGCGTCAATAAATAAATACAATGTTTCAAAAATANTGTTCAGCACTTTCAGACAACAATTGGCTTCTATTCTGAACTCGTTCCTCCCGTCTTTTCTTTATTTCTCTCGTCTCAGCAGTGGACAATGTCGAGGAAATAAGGCCTGATCAGAGACAAAGGATTCCGGCGTGTTCCTTCGCGTGTCTTCTGCATGTATACCCGTGCTCATGGCAGTAGGTGATGCGGTTGATGATAGATTTGTTGCTTTTGGCCAAAGAGGAATTAAATAAAACGAAAAGAATAATTATTTGGACGAAATATTGCGAGTGCTTCCTTTTCAATGTTTGCGCAAAAATAGGCAGGAAATGGGAAGTTGCGGGAAATGCAGAAAAAAAGACAATGATGTTTTTCCTCGATTTTAAACGAGCAAATGTCTAGTCCTTCTCGATCATAATGCGAATTGTCAATTGAAAATAATTAGCAAAAGGCGGTGTATAGTTCAAGTGAGATTTCCAGCCCTTATGTAATTTTCAGAGGTAATGAAATTACGTCGGAAAGCGTAGCAAAACATTTTAATGCCTCAATTCCTAATGTGGCGGATTCAATTTTATTTTGCGTCTGTGTCAACGCTACCTGATGAAGCTGATTTACGAGACCCGTCTTCTTTGCAAATAATAAAATCGTTATTATTCAAGCCCTTGTCCTGAATTAGGTTGGTTTTTAGCGTTTTCTATTTTTACGCATATTTGGAAAATTTAGCTGGAATATCTGGCACATTTCACTCGACACTTCTTTCAAATTATCGCTTTTCATGAATCCAATTCAATCCGATCTCGGCGCACCTTTCTGACAAAATTCAATCTTTCATCGAAATTTGATTGTACATTCCTAAAAAGCGTGAAATTATTCACTCCATCTGATGCCGCGAAATTTCAACAATTCAAATTGTAAAGGACTAAAAATCGAGTTTCTGCGTTTTGCTTGAACTGCGTGGAATAATCAATGGAAATTAGTTTTTAGCTAAATTCTTAGTAGGACTCTGCCTCATCCATGGATAATATTTACCTACAGAGAGATGCTCTTACTTCAAACATAAAAGAAATGATCATCGGCAAGTAATGATAATTTTCTCTTAGTTCAGTGAACCATGATGTGTTCTAAAATTTAGTCCCGATTCAATCACAAAAAGTCCAAACAATTTTATTGAGGGAGATTTGACTGAAAAGTTTCAAGCTATATATAGGGAGGCTT